AACAAACAGTGTAGTTCAATGTTAAATCCATGTTTTCTTACCTTCCTATATTGCTTCTTCACCTCATCCACAGAAGAATCAAAAGACAGCTTAAGATGCTCAAAAGGGTTTAACTTGAAGCAACCAAGTATCCTGACAAGATTAGAATGTGTTAGAAACAGAACGTAAAATCAAGAACATGGAAATAATCTGAATGCTTTTGTTTATTTTTTATCAACTGAATAATACGCCTGTTTGACACATGGCATTTCGGACTTATCATTTTTTTTAACATGAATGTCACTGTATAATTTCAAGGTACATTTATATGTTTCCTCACAGCATAGATCTCCCTCAATAACTTATGTCTAGTCTTCCAATAGAAAAGGGGTAATCTAGACATGAAGGAGCTATAAATAAGCTTAGATTATAGGATGATTAAATTCGGCTATTATGCTCATCTACATGCCTTCTAGAGACTAAAATAACATCAAAAATCAGGAAAAATACTAAAGGAGTAAGTACAACTAAAAATGAAGCTGAATGGCATCGGCTATTCAGGTTTGCACCGTTAGGGATCTCACTGATCAACTATCGTGTGTCATTCCAAAAAATTTAACATGTATAGCAAGTTGCAGAGTATGCCTCCCTAGTCAGTAGTCAACTGACCATGTTTAATTGTTTATAATGGGTAAGTAGTTATAATATTTAACCGGCTTCGAAACCGATAGCATAACAGTATGTCTGCTGGGCTCCATTGGACAGCATAAGCTAACACAGGAAGACATGGGTATCTTTGGTTGGTGTCCAAAAAGAAACCGTACGAATATTTTGGTTGTGAACAAAACTTTGGTCCTTGTTTTGTTTGTATGGCTGCCAAATTTTTGGCATATGCCCATGCCACCTTGCCTATTCTGCTTCATTTTGCTTGCCAACACTGGCAAAATCATGAATAAGTAAAACCTTGACCAAAGTTGATCCCAAGGCACAAACAGGCTTAGTCCTTCTTGAATGCAAATTTATCAGCTCGGTACAAGTAAATATATATTACAAGAGGTTCTATATATGTTGGTCATGGCATGGGGCGCACGATATCAGAAACAATAATAAGATGCTCCAGACGTCATTACTCATTATCGTGTGGCGTGTGTACAACTTAACATCGCATACTAAGCTACAAGAAAGCAAGGCAATCGCGTCTTAGAAGTAGCATCACCACCAAAGTAGTAAAAGTGGGAAAAATTCCCAATCGCGTCTGAGAACAGGTGAGCGAACCGGACGACTTCGACCTAGGGTTCACGCGGACCCCGTCGCCGACCCAAATTTGAGCAGCAAGCAGCGGCTACATCTACTGCGTCGCACGATTGGCCACGAATTGCGCGACAACGATGGCGCTACTGGGGATCTGAAGCCTACGTTGTGC